TCCCTAAGTGAACCGATGTTCTCCTGATCAGGCTTTTACCTCTTGTCACAGTACAAACAGATGCCACATACTGGCAAATGCAGAGTCCAGAGTAAATATATTGGGCAGAAAAATGTTTTAGGAGCCTCTAAAAGACAGACACAAAATTATTTTTGTTTTTCCTCTTAACTGGCAATAACTTCATGTCTTTTGTCTTTTCTTGCATAATACAGTGTATGTGACGACACCACAAGTAGTAGTATATTTAATCTTTTTTCTCTCCAAGAAATGCTGATAATTGTGGCATGGAAAGGATGCCCAGCATGCCTTCATTTTATTTAGGTACTTCCTTTCCCCCGATGTAGGAGATGCCTTGCATACATATCACTGCAGTTGTTGGAGCTAATTACTCTGTTCCCATCTCAGCATCCTGGTTAGTGACAGTAGCATTGCAGTGTGTGTGTGTATATATGGCACTTACCTCACTTTAGAGATGTAGAAATTATATGTTATTTGTACCATAAACTAAAAGTCTCATGCTAAGAAGAGCCTCTGATTGCATTGAATAGGCAAATGCCAGTTATCAGATGCTCTTAGGTAAGGAGTTTATAAGTTGTATTGTGAAAGTCTTCAAGGGATTATAATTTGTCTCCTTTTATACTTTCTTTCTGAGACATGGACCATCACTTTTCAAGAAGAAAAAACTCTACTTTTTTCTCAGAAGCTCTAGCTGCAGTTGTCTTTCAAAAGTAGGGGGCAGCAGTCCATTCCTCAGGGAGGAGAGTGGAGCCTATCTTGTTAGCAGCTTTCTGTCCTGAAGAGCAGCATGTAACCCGGTCACTATCCGGGCTCCATTCAGGCTTCTGGCATTGTGTGCACCAAGGAATACCTGACCAAGTGACTCAGCTAAAATAGATGTACTACATTTGACTTGATGCAAGGCCTTAGTTTCACTGAGAAGAAATCGCAGCGTGTTATGCTGGACACATTGGTAGACCCCCCTTTCAGTATCAATTTTCCAAGTTTTCTTTCATCTCTATGCTTGCCATGCTATGGAAGTGTTTGCAAGAAATAACTTTTAATATATTTTTTTTTTTCTTTTTATAGGAGGTGGCAAAAGAGGCCTGGGAGAATCATAGGCTGCGGAATGATTCTATCATTGTGGATATTTTTCATGGTCTTTTCAAATCTACCCTTGTTTGTCCCAAATGCTCCAAAGTTTCTGTGACCTTTGATCCCTTCTGTTACTTAACCCTTCCACTGCCCTTGAGGAGAGATCGTGTCATGGAAGTTACCCTGGTATATGCAGACCCACAGCATAGACCTGTCCAGGTGAGGCATATTGAAGACACAAATTTCTTTAAGTCATCTGAGTCTTTCTCTTGGGTTTTAAAGTTGAGACTTTTCAAGTAATCAGGACATTGATGTCCACCTTTGAGTGAGGTAAGATGGTTTTTTTTTAATGTAAAAACTGGGAATTGAACATGTGAAATCAAGTGGCTTTGTAAAATCTCTGTTCGTGAGACTAGGGTCATGGGTTAGCTGGAAGTGGCTTACCTGTTCCTGTGATGTGATTACCTGTGTGATGTACTGCTCCCTGAAAGCAGTAATGTGTTTGCATTGTAATGTTTACCTCTTGTTACCTTGGAAAATGTAGAGGTGAAACTTACCTAAATGGGTAAGGCCTCTGAATTTCAAACAGAAATGAAAAAACAATCCCTCTTGAAAAAACTGGAAAATTACTTGATTGCTTTTAAAGCCTGCTCAATTCTAAGATAGACTGATTTTTTTTTTTTAATTCCCCCACCACCATTTTATTTTCAAATGGGCCTGTCGGTGGGCACGCACATACCTAAAGTAACCTTGTGCTTGCCATGCATGTCAAAAGAAGCACAAGATCTGGGAGGCCCAAGCAGAGTGACTGGATGCCCTGATGCAATTTTGGAGGCACTGATTGGCAATATTTGCATGTGCTGTGGATTATAACTGCAGATGGTAAAACTTGTGCTTTGTATGTACACTGTTAGTTTGAGGGGGGTGATAGGTATAGTGGAGAAGGATGTATGCTGAATTCACAATAAATTTTCATCCTGCTTTTTGTACAACTGTGAAATCAAGGACAGCTACACTTGTTCTTGTCACCAAGACTTTATAAAGGGCAAGAACAGAGAAGGGATTCATTGAGAAAACAAGCAAGATTACCAATAGCATAGAGACTGAAAGGATAAATTCTTCTACTTTAAAGAATCAAGATTAACAGAACTTCCGCTACCTGGAGCTCTTTTAGATGAGTTGGCCACGTGCATGTTCTACATCCCACCTTCAGTCTCCCTGTGAGCAATTCTTTGCATTTTGTGATCTCCCACTTGGGAAGCCAGAGGTGTGCACCACTACTCCCCTCTGGTGTGTGACACAAGGAGGAATTGTGTCTCTGCCATGTGGGTTGTGCTGAGACAAAGTGAACTGAAAGCCTCTGATGGCCACAGTGGAATATGCAGATGGATAGTATAACTGAGAAGATCCTGGTGAATATTGATACATAACTCCTTTTAGTCAAGGCAAGTATGTTCCACATAATTCTCTCTGAGTGTGTGCCTATCTATAACCTACAGTGCCTTTGAATCCTTCTCTTAAAACATATGGTACTGATTACTTGATGGAGGAAAGATGCTAGGTTAAACCAAACTGTAGATGCTTGTGTTCTGGTGCACCTGTATTCTTGCATCCATGCACGTTGCTGGTTGCAGAGTGTCGCTTAGCCATGTTAAAAGCTCACAGATCTGTCTTCAGGGAAGTGTTCAGAGCACTGGAAGTGGAACCAATGGATTATCATATGTTTAGCATCTGAGGTAGAGTGTTCCCACTGACTTACAAGATATTTCTGCTTAGGAGTGTGAAAGGTTTCTTGACTTGTGCCCCTCGTACTTTTTGTAGCTGAATGTAAGTGGTGTATTGACCCAGGCCAGCAGCCAAGCACCCACACAGCCTCTTGCTCACTCTCCCCTGCCCTCTT